CGTTTTTTATATAACCCTTTAAAACTATTTACAGAACAATCAGCTGTGCTGCATCAAAGAAGAAGGCACACAAATTATTTATGCAACTCCAAAAAATAGTTTGTGTCACTATAACACAGATGAGAACAGCACAGGGATAAACCTGCAGGTCTGACAGCAGCTGTGTCACTCAGCGTTTACACTGCAATCTGCCTTTTTTGCAGCAACTGTGACGATCACGTGTGGAACTGACACACAAAACAAAACAACGACTACACTACACACTAACTACACAAGACAACACACTAACTTGAGACTCCAAACACGGTAAACGTCACAAATCTCTCACGTATCAAAACTCTCTCTTGCCGGTCACTCCTAAAACTTCCCCCTCTTCCCAAACAACCAGATGCCACGTGTTGCCATATCATTTTTTTGATTGGTCAACATGGTACATTTTTCCACCAATAGGGAAGGAGTGTTTTTTCTTTTTTTCACTCACAAGCAAAGCGTGTCTGCTAGCGCGCTCATTAGAAAACGCCGTTTTTACCGTTTCTTCCCGGAGTAAACGCCACTGTTGTATTAATAGTAATAATAATCATAATTTTAAAAAAATAGCATGCTTCCAGTACACGTACTGGAAAATTATTTACTAGGACTCACCTATCATGCGACTGGAGAGCGCAAACTCCACCATTGTTGTTTTCCATCAAACACTCATTAAAACAGCGGCCTACAGGTATGTTAGCGCACTCATCCCCGACTGTCCGAGGGAGGGGCGGGGTCACACGTTGAAACAGACGCAAGGCAGCCAGGCGGGGAAAATTTGCTTTTACATTTTGCGACTCATTTTATTTCTCTATCTGATAAGAAAACTATTCAATCAGATAGTTATTTGTGGTGAATGAAATACAGCTACACTTCCACCTTGAAAAGACAACATTAAAATTCAAGCATTTTCAAGGATTTCAAGCACCTGTACGAACCCTGTGTACAGGGAGAACAGCAGAGGAGAAAGTACACAGCCCTGATGCACTGGAAGTCTGAGACGTGCCTGCCCAGTCTCGTATGCTGCCTGCTGTCAGACAGGAAGTGCAGGTGGGAGCAGGAAGAATCAGCTGGGGAGCTTGTCCTGCAGCAGAGGCGGGATGATTGTATTCAAAGTAGTACTAAGAAATGTCACTTGCATAGGTTCCAGTGCAGTCCCATGTTAACAGCATCACCTACTGACCTGCTGGCTCTGTAAGTGAAAAGGAGGTCCACATGAGGGTCAGTGATAGATCTGAGATGATATAGTACCAGACGCTCAAATGTCTTCACGAGTACAGACCTCAGAGCAACAGCCATTAAGGTTTGTGATCCTTGGTGTTTAGGAACATGGTTAACATTTGTGCAAAGCCACAAGGATTTCAAATTGAGCACTGCAGCCTGGAGTAAAGATAAAACTGCATGTTTTAAAACATATCGAGTGCATTTTATGTATTAATAAGCGTCTCTGTACATTTCAGAAAGAAGAGGCTCTGAAAACAGGAAACTGAATCCCCCCCACAGTGTCTTCTCACCGGACTATCCACATGTCTCCACATTTGGCAACAAGTACCTGTAGAGACAAACTGTACACATTATCACAGAGACTTTGAAGCAGTCCTGTCTGGTGGAGAACATGACGGAAAAAGAGTAAAGAGACAGTGGACAGCAGAGTTAGGCATCATTTATTCCAAAATAGAAAGCTCTAAGGCAAAACAGACGAGCGAGAAGTACAAGAGAAAAGTGAATGCTTCATAAAAAGCTAGACAGAGGTGACAGAGTTCAGCGAGGGCAACGCGTAGCCATTAAACCCTCAGGCTGAATCAAATGAACAAAGTTAACTTTACAAGAAGGATAAAAACCAAGTTACTGCAACTACTTACAAACAACTGTTTTACAGTACAGCATTACAGTTATTTAAACAAGAGGCACCCCATTATGTGCAGTAATGTCAAACTGATGGAGCTTTCAGATCCTTCACTGTGTGTGTGTGTGTGTGTGTGTGTGTGTGTGTGTGTGTGTGTGTGTGTGTGTGTGTGGGTGGGGCGGGGGGTCATGGTCGCAGCTGCAGCCCTTGGGGATCATTCCTTCAGGAGGGCAATGACTCCAAGTTTCCAGCTGCTCTGTTTTCAATGCAACAGCATGTATGTAGCGTGTACATAAAATAAAAGCTAAATGCGTGCAAAAAGTCCACTGCTTCTTATTGATGGAGTCCGTAACCCCTCCTGATTGTGTGGTTAGCATAGTGTTCTGGATTGTGCATTTTAGAAAGTGACACCTATGCTACTACTGTAAAATGGTTAAAAGACAATGTATGGTATACACATTGTGGGCCAAACAAAGACGGGAACGCTGCAGTCGCTTTGCTGCTGGAGAGGGTTCCTGTGATACTGCAGTACACAAAGTAAAAATATGCTTTAAGGAGCCACAAGTGTTCCACTGTTTAGTGTCTTTTTGGCCAATTTCTCCAAGGGTCATACTTCCTTTTTGTGCTTCTTGGTAAGATTTATTTTAGAAAAGAACACAGATAAGGCCTTGTTAATATTTTAAGCTTAAAACCAATTTAAATAGTAATTTTCATCAGCATTCAATTCCTTTTTCTGTTTTTTAGAAAACTTCAAAAGAACCCTGGAAAACAGGGTCACAGCATTTATTATGAATCTGTACATAAATATTTCTTACAAAACAGGAGAACACAAAAATGAAACCAAAAAACAAACAAACAAAAAAAAACCACTCATTTCATATGTTTGTATAGAAAAATAAGCATCTCTCCTCTAATTTACTTTTAATCTCTCCACCTGTGCTCTACTCTGCCTGCAGGGGGCAGTGTGAGCCATGGAGTCAGTCATAAGAGCACACACGTCTACTTAAAACACAAGCATGCAAAAGTCAAGACAAACCAGAGACACAAGAACAAGACAGAAGTGGTCTCATCCAAAATGACAATCTAGCTGGGAGCAGGGGGGGACGGGGGCGGGGACAAAAAAAGTCAACGTTTATTAACGGAGTATACAAACTTGTCTCAGGTGTTTTTAACACTTGGTTTTTTTTCAGTTTGATTTCATCTTTTTGAGCTTAAATATACAAAAAGTGCACTCACCTACATCATTTATACAATAAAAAACTGTTTGTGAAATGACACTCCTGACATACACGTGCAGCAACAACCGCCGTTCAGCAGGGTGGAGGCTTGGAAGAGTGCAGGGTCCATCCCAGTGTGTCCTGTGCTCTGTGGAAATCAAACGGACGCACCTCTGTTCTGTCGAACTCATTTTGTGTGTCCTCTGCGTGTGGGCGGTGCTTGTCCTCTACTGCAATGAGTTGCTATTGTCCAGGCCCAGCCCCGCCATGTCCGCGTCATTGTCCTCATCTACGCTGTCCCCCGACTCGTCTTCACTGTGGCCTCCCAGCATCACCTGCTGTACTGCCAGCGTGGCACCGTCTGATGTCAGGCTCTGCAGACCCTCCACGTTCATCGTCACCATTGTACCTAAAATATTGAGACAGTTTTTTTAAAAGCTTATTACCAAAAAAGTCAGAAGGGAAAAGCTGTGGCTGGAAACTCCCGACACGAGTCACGAACATGTCTCGTTGTTTTCCAGGAAATGACAAACGTTTGCTTTGTGTGCTTTTATTCTGCTGTATCATGTAAAACCCACGTCCAATATGATCTTACAGTTTTGTTTTTGTTGAATTAAAACTGTATTTGTTTCAATCTGCCTTGCAGCCTTGAAATAAATATGGTCTGTTACACCTCATGTCCTCCTTCATCTCACTATATGAAGTAGAAGAGCTGCTGTGAGCCTTCAGCATCTTTGTTTAAACTCAAACTGTATCAGACTAAGTTGGGATTGACAAGATGGCGCCGGTGTGTGTGGCTGCTCGTCTGTCATTGCCAAGTTTGTTCCTGCTGCAACGGTCATAACCCACGTGTGTTATTTAGGACCATTGACACTGTTCTAAATACTCCATTGAATGTCTGTTTGGAAGTTTCTCCTGATATTTGCAATGATTTTTTAACTTTTTTATTGTAAAGGTTGTCACCACCAGGGTTCTTATCACAGCTCCTGACTCTGACCCTCTGTCTCTGTCCCTCGCACTGCTGTTTTCACTCAGTTTGAGCTTGTGATGCTCTCCACTTTAGAGGCTGTGGTTCGCCATATTAAGCCCACAGGTTCCCCTCGGGATCCTTTTCCTCCACAATTTTTTAAAGAAATTTTTCCTAGTATATGACAGTATGTCCTTGAAATTATTAACTCATTCACTGCCAATGGCTGGCAGTGAATGAGTTAATAGCAGTCTGCCTTCTGGTGTGGTTCCTGCAAATTTCAAGCATGCAGTAGTGCAGCCACTGCTTAAGAAACCTGGCCTTGATCACACAGTTTAAGTGAACTATAAGCCTATTTCCAAGCTGCCTTTAGTCTCCAAGGTTTTAGAGAAACTTTCTCTGTCAGCCTTCTCGGTTCCGAATCATCTTCTGCTCCTCTTTCATGTGGCCTGTGGGACACAGGGTTCAATCTTAGGGCCTCTGCTCTTTTTATTGTATCTATTGCCTCTGGGTTCCACCCTTAGAAGGCATGGGATCGCAGTTCATTGTTATGCCGATGACTGCCAAATTTATTTGCCACTGAAGCAGAAAGGTGGCATCTCCATAAAACCTCTCTTGACATGTCTAGATGACATTAAAGCTTGGTTGGCTCTAAACTTTTTAAATTTTAATGAAAATAAAACAGAGTTGTTGGTGTTTGGACCTAGTGGTCCCTGCAAGTCGTCCTCTGTAGATTTGGGACCTCTGGAAATCTATTTTAAACCTGTTGTTACTGACCTTGGTTTTAAGTTGGACCACCAAATTAGAGCAGCAGTGAGTCTTTAGTTCATCTGTTTAATGTCTGTAGTCCAGATTTTTTTGCCGTGTAAAACAAACGGGGGTGGCCAGAGCAGCTTACAAAGTTCGCTGTTCTTCATGCTGGAGCTTGTTGATCAGGTGGTTTGCTCAAGAACTCCTGCCAGCTTTTTCCTAGTAAAACTTCCTGTCATAGCGACAGCACTGTTGTTTTGGATGCTGGAAAAATCTTTTTTTCTCTACCTGAGTGCACCGTCTCTGTAACAGTACCAACTCCTCTGTGCTTTCCACATTAAGCTACTTAATAGTGACACCTGAGTGCTACAGAGCTGTACATTAAAGCATTGAATCAAACCATTTGTGTCGAGGATTTTTAAACAATCAAGTTGTGAAATGTTGCAGTCCTAGTGACATTGTCAGCAATTTGTTAAAAGCAGCAACATTTGCGATACAGTGATGACATTTGTTGCCAAACTAGAACAACAGTTTGTTAAGCAGCAGCAGCAGCAGCGGACAGGAAGTCTGCTGGTATCACTACATTGACTAGTGTTTGTTTCTCTGCATTAACTCTAATATATGGGCCAAGTACAACAACGAAACAATCTCGATACGGTGTTGTGCTGCCTACCATCAGGCATGGCCCCTCCTCCTGCTGCGATGGAATCAGGCCAGAAGCGCTGCAGTGGCCGGTTTTGAGGTGTCTTTTTCTTGGCTTTGGGTGTCTCTGAAGAGCTGGCATCCAACATGGGCTGCAGGATCCGTCTCCGTGCATTTATAAACCTGCAGACACAGGGTGATGCTGGCTGTACAGATCTTTGCACTTCAAATGCTAACAGGTGCTGATTAGGCTCACTGTCAGGTATGGACAGCTGTATGGTTAGCTGGATTTTACACACCCTGACTCAAAGGACACAAAGAATAGGAACTGTCTGATGTCCTGTACATATCAAATACACCGTAACCTCCTTAAACTTAGCTAAAAAGGTGACACTTCCCACCTTTACTTAAAGAAGTTGCAGTTATTAACTTAGGGCAAAGTTAAATATCATCTTTTTTGTTTTGTTTTCATTAGGCAAAAAAGCAGAGAGGTCAAATGGCAAACTATGGGAACAAGTCAGAGTTTCATCAGTGAAAAGTGAAACGAGATGAGCAAAGAAGAAACCCTCAGCTGACCGCAGGAAGCCCTGCACAATTACCTGGCTGACCAATTATACTACAACAATTAGTGGAAAATTGCCTGCGATCACAAACATGACTGTAAATAGTCTTGGGATAAAGAGCAACTCACCAGTTGTTGACCTGCAGAAGTGTCAGGTTTGTTTGAGTAGCAATCTGCTTCTTTTCATCCTCTGTGGGATACGGATGCTGCACAACAGAACAGGGTTGAAATGCATCACTATTTTGTAAGGACTTGAGTTCTATACAGGCAGATGATTTATGCACAGAGACTCACCCCGATGTGCTGGAAGAGCCATGAGCGCATGACATTTGTGGCATGCTTTGGAAGAACGCCGCGCTTGTTCTTGGTTGAGTTGTCCTCATGACTAAAGAGGTTCAAGTCCTGGTGAAACTGCAGCTGAAGCTGAGTACACAGATGTTTGTTTAGCCATCTTTTAATTATCTCAACAGAATGAAAGGTTATGTTAAATTACAATACTGTTCCACATCATTTAACCAAGGACCTCAGCTCTAATTTTGAATTATTTGCCCTTAATGACAGGGCACCGATCTTAAAAAGCTACACCATTTGATATTAGGAGCAGACAACACATTATCTGCCATAGTCAATACGCAGCAAAGGTTGTTGTTACATTGTTATAGAACAAAGTTACAACATGAAGCCCTCCAACACCTCTAAGCTTGTCTTCATTTAGTTCAATTAACTTTTACTCTGCCTCTCATTCTACTTTTAAATACTCTAGGAACCACAAGTGGGAGCAGTAAAATTCAATGACAGGGATTCCACTTAATAGCACGGCAGCAACATAGACAGATGTATTACCTGATTGTTCTGGACGCGTATTGTCCCGGGAGAAAGAGCCTGTGTTACCACCTGGCCCTGAGGAGTTACAACTGTGACTGGCTGGTACACAGTCCCGCCTGAAATACAAACACACAATTTTCTAACCTGCTCAGCTGAGTGCAGAAGACTCAATCAGAGTCCTGTTGGTACATGTGAATATCTGGGCTACAGTCATTAGTGCAGTACCTGAGGAAGGGGTCGTACGCCAAGATGACATACCTGCGACCACCTGGGTGGGGTTGACAGTTGTCACGGTAACGTTTCCTTGCTGCAGGGCCGATGCTGGAACTACAATTTGACCCTGGGGACTAATGGTCCCTGATATGGAGCTGGGGGTCTGTGTAATAGAGCATGCATACATAAAGTAGGCGCATGTATGTCTTCCATGCTGCTAACTCTTATAACGCCATTTTTAAAGTATTCCCATTTAGCTGGCTAATATACCCCAGCAGGGGCACTGATCAGTGGTAGCTAACTCTTCACCTGAGGCATTTGGTGGTGACGCCTGCAGTTCACCTACACTGCATACCTGAGACTTGGTGGGTGAGAAGTTCTGGGCCTGGCCTTGTACAGGCGAGTATGGGCTTCCCGGGTCACCACTCAGCAGAGTCTCACTGTTCATCTTAGTCTTGAGGCAGGCGATGTAGCGACTGCAAAAGTCCTTGCACAGGTCGCTCACCTTCTCCAGCTCCAGCAGGTGGATCCGCAGCACCTGGATGGCTTTCACCATCTTCAGATAGAAGGAATGGAAAGCGTTCTTAGGCTCAACATCTTTCTGTTTAACAAATGTTTACCTGAGGGCATTACAGGGAGGTCAAAGGTCAGGTCCAGTTATGACAGTCGCTTCCGATCACAGCACAGAATTACAATACAGCACGATGCCACCCTGTGAAGATTTAATTACTACTTATTTGTTGTAGCATGAATGGTCACAAGGTCTTTCTCAGAAGGAAAATACACCTAAAAAAGTCTCAAATTTATGCCCTCCTTCACATTTCCAAAGCCATCCCGTGGGCCGTCTTTAACAGGCCGATTCTGGCCCCTGTAGCCGTTTACTGTCACAAAAGTCTGTGGGCTTCTACTGTTGCTGGCCCTTCAGAGAGAAGTGAAATCAACAAACAAAGAGCTGAAGTGAAAACAATGAAAAGTGTCCACTAAAGCCTTTCATGCTGTTCTTGATTATCTTTTATTATAGTTTAGTTTTTGTGGTTTGTGTTGACCTTCTGTCACTCCCTTTCTTTTCAACCAATCGGTGTATCGACATCCCTGCTGAGCTCCAAGTTGTTGGTTGTTTGGAAGACAATATGCAAGCGTGTTCGGATAGGTTACACAGCCCTCTGCATGTACAAACATAAATGCTGTGAAATAAGGTTTAGCTTTCTGAAGCAACAATGTCTCACCAAGTTGTCAAGTTCAGGGTCTTCACTGAAGAAAGGCTTCCCCTCCTTCTCTTGATTACGGACAAAATTCTCAATGTCCACATCAAAGCTCGCTGAGGTGATGCAATCAGAGCTCAGCGTGGACTGCTCACACTTCTCAAACAGCAGGGCCAACAGAGGGAACAGAGGATGCCTACGAAAGACACACACACACACACACACACACACACACAGAAAAAGGATCACTTCAAGCTTCATCAGTAAGAACTTGGAAAATCCACAAGGACGGGGAAAAACAAAAAAAGTATTAGCAGCAGGACATGAGACCTAAATGAATCAGAACTCTGTGTTGACATCAGACATTTAATATATGTATATTTACACACACAAATACACACACACACACACACACACAGTCCTAAACTCTTTCAACCGTTCAACCTGCTTCCCTCCTCAGGTGAGGTGTGGAGGATATCCTGAACTTGGTGAAACTTTCTTCGAAGTGGAGCTCACGTTGTTGGACTCTAACACTTGGAAAATAAACTCTCATTTGATGTGAGGATGTAACCAAACTCTTTGTCTGGACCCTTTTAGGACACTAGCCTAACATCAGCTGACATAATGTTAGCTTATAACCAACTGTTGCTGCCTAAACAACAATGGTTATAAGCTAACATGATGCTCACTGTAAGCGATCAGGGGGCAGCAGGGTTACAAGTCTAATCTGCTGACGATATGTAATTAGGACAACATTTGGAATAAATAATCATGTCTATGCACGTTTTCATGTATTAAAGATTTGACTTCAGTTCAGGAAGTCAGTTTGGAGGTGAGGATGAAGAGAAAAAGAGGTGTGAGAGAGAGCAGTGGTGGAGAAGCTTCCTTCTCCAGAGGAAATATGCATGTGCAAACTTTTGTTCATATATAGTTTGATTTAATTTTAATTAAACAGCTTGCATATACTGTTACTGTTGAGAATGTCTGATTTTCTATTTCTATTTAAACAAACATACACTCCTACCGATATATGGATGCCTTGTCAGCGTCCATGGGTGTCTGTGGCTCTGTTGGTGCCGGGCTGGGCACCTCTCCCAACGTACCCTCCATAAACTTCTGCTCCGAATCACTGTCTACCTTTATGATGCCTTGCATCTGCAAGGAAGGTGAGAACAGACAAGAAACAGACAATTACAGCACGAAGCGTTCAAGACAAAGATGACATGTGACAGCGTGTGGCTTCATTTTAATAGCACTCCTTTTCAAAGTCATAGGAATTTTCAAGCAAAAAGACTATTTTCTGAGATCCACAAGTTACTAACAAATGACTACAGAAAACCTGGACGACCTGACAGCTCCTCAAAAAGTATCTACTGCCCCCTGGTGTGAGGCTGCAGTACAGGTCATAAAGCCCACCCTCTCTGTTAGCAAATGGGGCAGGGCTCAAACAGAAACAAAAGAAGTTCACCTCAGATTACTAGTACTAGTACTGCCATTACTACTACTCATGTTGATTTGGGTTCAAGGAGTCACCTTTCTTAGAAGTTTGATTAGCAGCAACAGTTAGAGAAATTTGGGTGTATCTGCTTGGGAACTGGAGGCAGAGTCTAGATACTGAGAGAAGGTCTGTTTACCTTCCATAACCACAACCTGCTGTTTCAAACTGACAATAAGGAAACTGGACTAACAGAAAGAACATGTTTCTACACCCAGTTACACATATTAATTCAAGTGCTTTGAAATGCCAGTCTTCACTGGTGGGGATAGTTACAAAGCTTTCTTCGTTATGAATTAGCATACATGGTTTTATTGAACATTTGAAGAACCAGCAAAAAAAACAAACTCTTGTAGAGGACATGAAGTCAGAGATAGAAGCGACAAGGAGCAGGTGCATCTAATACAGGTAGAGCTGCTGCAAAACCCCACAGAGCTCAGCAGCCAGCGCAACAAATTCTGGATCCTTTGCTTTTAGTTAGCATTAGCAGCACATGCTGCCTCTGATGTGAAAGGACTTTTATGCTGCGCACTGTGATTCACAGCAATGGTCCCGGGTCAGCCCTGACTTTGTGTTAAACTAATCCAAAATTAATGATGGTATTTCTAACCACTAGATATACCACAACTTTATCCTTTCAACAGCTGCTGAAAGTTAGGGGACCTAGCTGCTAGATATTTATATTAGAGATGGACCGATCCGATATTACATATCGGTCCGATACTGACGTAAATTCCTGGATCGGATATTTGAGAGAAATAAAAAATGTAATCCGATCCATTAAATATCAAAAAAGCACCTCACAAAACTTGCGACATGGCGTAACTCGGCTCATAACCTTAGAACGTTGGAGCAGTATGCTCACGTGATAGAGAGACTGTGTGTATTTGTAGCCTCGCTACCAAACCAGCATTTTATCTCCGAGGAAGTTTACCCAGAGAGAAGTAAAGCAAGTGTGTAAGTTCATCTCTGAATGTTTGTAAAGCATTCCTGTGTTAAGCTTAACAACCGATATGGAGCGACTGCCTCTCTCTCCCTCCCTCTCCTGCTGCTACTTCAATCGTGACACTGATCAATGATCAGCTGATCGGGTTTTCTGTCGCGAGTCCGTCTCTCTTCTTTGTTTATCGCCCACTTCGCGCCAGAAAGAGGAAACCAGCGGCTGAACAACCGCAGCACGTTTAAGCTTGATAAGCTGCTGTTAGAATTTATTTAATATTACTTTCTACACCAGGATCCTTTTCTACAGCTGACGGCTGGTAACTGTGCAGGGGCGGATCTAGAAAAGTTTAGTCAGGGGGGCCGATAGGGCATGAACAGGGAAAAGGGGGCACAAAGACATACTTTTCTTTCTTATTCTCATTTAAAATATCGATCTTTTAATAAATAATTATCTGAATCTTACACCCAAAGTTTTAATCTGATGTAAAATGTATAGAAGTCCATTACTGTATATAGTAACTGTTAAGTCTAATATACCCCAGTAAGCTAGTACTTTATCTATTGAATCTATTTAATTATTCTTGAAAAGAATAATTGATTTATGTGCATTTTTTTTTCACACTGCATCAAATTAAAGTTGATTACGTCGATTAAGCATCATGAGGTGGGGGGTGGGTGGTTCCCTTTTTTTTTTTTTTTTTTTTGCTGGGAGTTTTAGGACCCTATTAGTTATCTTGCTTACTCTTTAAAATACCAGAATAGGGAGGATGGAGCAGGTTTAAGTTTGTTAGATTGATCAGTGTTGCTGAACTATGAAATATTTTGGGTGCAGTGTATTTTTGGCATACAGGTATAACAGAATAGCTTTAGTGCTTTTTTTTTTTTTTTTTTACTTGAGTATGAACTTATACAAAAAGCAGCAAGATATTAAAAAAACTGTTTTATTGATTAAAAAACACACTATATCGGATTCGTATCGGCAGATATCCAAATTTATGATATCGGTATCGGACATAAAAAAAGTGGTATCATGCCATCTCTAATTTATATAGAGATCCTCCAGCTTCAAACTGTATCACCCTTCAAGGACCTGCAGTTCAAAAAAGCGCCCCTCCGACAGCCAAACCCATCTGTTCTCTGATTGAATAGTTACATTTGTGATTGACATGACATTGACCAATCAGATGAAAGGAAGAAAAATAGGATCAAAATTCGTACTTGTAACTTGAAACTTGAGTGCAGAGTTTCACATGTATTCTTTGGCTAAGTCCACACACAAATCTTTTTTTACACATACAAAACTGATTTACAAGTACAAAATATTTATGACCACAATTTGAGCCCATAGAGGAGTCAAAAGAATTATGAGAAGAGATCTGGAATCAGCAGGTACGACTGGCCTGTATGCACAATGACCACACAAGACTCCACCGCTGAAGAAAAAGCATGTTGAAGTGTGTTTTAAACCTGACTAAACAACATTTAGACAAGCCTGTGAAATACTGGGAGAACATATTCTGGTCAGGCGAGACCAAAACTGAAACCTTTGGATGCTGTAATCAGAGATGGGCAGTAATGCGTTAGAATGTCTCAAGACAGTGACGTAAGCGAGTGCGACGTTCGTGACAACAGCTGTGTGCAGATCAACAGTGGATAATATATCGAGTGCGGGAGAGAGTATGAGCGTGCAGCGTTTAAAACGTGGAAGTACTGACCTTACTTTGAGTTTGATTCCATAAAAAGTGACAAAAACATTAGTGTCAGTTGTGCGTGGGAAGAAAACTTCTTTTTACAGCGAAAAAAAACCCTAAACAAGCACCGAGTGCACAACGACGTAATGGGAAATTCACAAAAACTCGCGGATTCTTCCACTGACCGCTGCGGCACACCTGCACCAGGGCAAACCTCCGCCTGCCCCACTCCTACTTTACAGGTGAAAATAGAGCAAAATAGAGTAGAATTGTAATCAGTAATTAGTTACTGATTACTTTTTTCAAGTAACTTGACCAACACTGGCTGTAATACACACCATGTTTGGAAGTCAAACACCCCAAACCGAGAGTGAAGTTTGGAGGTGAGAACATCATGGTGTGGGGCCATTTTTCCAACATACGGCACTCGCACACTTCATATATCTGAAGGAAGGATGAATGGAAAAATATACCGACATTCCTGATAAAAATCAACTGCCATCAGGGCCAGCCAATCACACGACCTGAATCCAATTTAAAAATCCATGGAAAGAACTAATGCTTATTGTATTGCTCTATATAAAGCTTTGTTTTTTAACAAACACTTTGCATGTCAGCTGTCATCAGAATTGCAGACTGTAAAATATATAAGATGTTCAGAACCAAAGTGTGTCAGGATAATGAAAGGATGAGCTTTAAAGGATAAACTTCACATTTGACTGCAATGATTCTTTGATTACAGGAGTTGCTCTCAGCACCACCCAGTGACAGACGAATCATCCAATAAGCCCACTCTTTATGCTAAATTCACTTATTTAACTTTGGAGCAAAATTATAGTAACTCAAAAATGACCTGATTAAAAAAGAACAAAGGCTAAACTGCCAGATTATTTACCGTCCGTGAAGGCTGCAGCTGTCTTACTGAGGAAGTTCATGAAAGAAAGTCAAAGGGATTATATATCCATGTAATTGGTATCATATGTACCGTTATCCTCTTTACCTTTAGGCGCATAAACAGTTACTCAGTTTGGGATTTAAGAAAACTGATGATGTCCGCTGTGCTCAGCTTCTGTACATATTAGGGCAACACTTCTGTGATTACTATATGTTTAGATTTTAAATAATTTTCTACTGAACTAAATGTAACACCATTGTGTAAAAGTTGAGAAACACTGTTTAAGTGCTGGGTTTGTCCTCCTTTTAGGCCTACGGTGGAGATCTGAAGATTTCCCTTTGAGGGAGCTGATGCTGAAGCCTGAGCTCTTCTTGATCCCTCTAATGAACCTCAGTCCTCCTGATGTTTCTGACACGATGTCTGCCTCAGTGGGTCAAACGAACATCTGGCACAGGACAGCTGTGTTGTAAGAATAGTAGGTTTCTACAAATCACTGGACCCAAGAATCCGGACCCAGTTGGCTCTGATAGTCTCCCTCACTTGTTTTTAGCTGAGTAAATGCAGCTGTTGATTTAAAAAACAAACTACTACTACTCTGGGTCATGTTGTTAAATGAAAAGAAAAAAATTATACTGCTCAGAGAGTGCAAGTCTCCAGTTCTCTTTATGTTAAAATCTCAAAAGGCAACATTGAATCTTTAGATAATTATAGTAACACTGTGTTTCTGAGGTGTGTATGTAGCTGTCATTTCTCTTGTCTAAAGTCAGGGTAACAAAGTTACACTGACTAATAAGTCAAACATCTCGACTATGAGCAACACTGGTGTATAACAAGCTTCTAACAGTGTGTGTGCTAACTGCTAATCCAACTAACAAATTAGCAAGGATGAAGGAGGAGGATGTTAGATGTTGTATACAACTATAGTATGGTAAGATGTGTGCCTTTTTAATTAAACCAACATGGCTTTATTTGCCTTAATTTCCTGAGTCTTGAGGAGCAGTAAAACCACCAGCAGAGATGTTAAAACTGAACAACCCCAGTTACATAAAAAGCACATGGGATATGCTCACGTTTACATCCTGTGGGGCTGTAGACAGGAGATCAACAACTCCTCCACTAAGAGTCACTACTTCCATTCCCTTTGTTAACATCTCCATACTTTGTTCAAACAAACTGTTAAAAGAAATGGAAAGCTATTAAGATTCATTAGGTTGTAACCCTTTTCTGAAATATTTTTTTAAGTCCCCAGTGCATAGGTCTGGCAGAACCCTCATGATCCAGAAAGTGAAACACTACCATCTCTGGTGTCCAAAGAATAACAACTGAGAATACACTCCCCCAACTTCTATACACCTGTGTTAACAGACCTCTCTGCACCGAATCATACTTGTTATTAATCTCTGTCTCTCTTCCACAGCATGTCTTTATCCTGTCTCCTCAACCGGTCACAGCAGATGGCCCCGCCCCTCCCTGAGCCTGGTTCTGCCGGAGGTTTCTTCCTGTTAAAAGGGAGTTTTTCCTTCCCACTGTCACCAAAGTGCTTGCTCACAGGGGGCCATATGATTGTTGGGTTTTTCTCTGTATTACTGTAGGGTCTACCTTACAATATGAAGCACCTTGAGGCGACTGTAGTTGTGATTTGGTGCTTTATAAATAAAACTGAATTGAATTGAAATGTGAGCAGAGGCTCTGCAAAATACTTTATTGAGCAAAGTCTTTCTCCCTTTTTACACTGTGCCTGCCTACCGGCAACACAGTCCCTTCAAGGAGCATAAATCTCATCCCCAACCATGTGACTGCAGCCAACAATGACTTAGATTGAACACAAATAGACCAAAAATGATTGCCTGCGTAGGGAGGAACATTTCTTCTTAGTCATAGTTCATTCTTAGCTCTCAACACCCACAAATTTTAGCACCTAAATAAAGATGTTTTTTAAGCAATTTACAAATATGCATACAGATAAATACTAGGAGGAAATGAGGCTTACAATTCATTACTGATGTCTCCCATACTGCGTTTCAGAGACAAGCTCACAGTCTATATATTACTCAAACTGGTGTAACAGCATTGACACCGATTGCGTGTTCACGTTATTCTGCTACCAAGGCTGACTTCTCACTACTGAAAATAAATTATCTATTAGGCAGAGTCCAGAACACTCAAAGTTTTAGCCTAGAATGTTTAGCTGTCCCAATTATAAACAGTATCCCGTCCTGCTGTTGTGCTTATTCTCTTTAGTTAACTAGTATCTCAAAAGAGCAGACTATAGCTCCCTGCAGGTCCAAGCAAAGTTTTTCCCTCTCACCCACCTGCTGCTCTCCCTTTGGGTACTTATCTATGGAGACTGAGTGGGCTGCCATCACGTTCACTGCAGATGCTGCAAACACTGGGGCATTATAGAGTGCAGGGACTGGTGGCCAACCTACACAGTACACACAGTTTCAGTTAGACTGCCTCAGGTGTTTGCACATAAGCTTCAAATGACAGAACTGTTCTGATTTCATTATTAAACTATTATCAGTGTTACTGGCTTTGTTAATTAGGTTGGCATTGTTACGGTAAAATACAGAAGTATGGACATAATACTGTTCCCCTTTGTAACACCAAGATGCAAAATATATACAAAATGTCAATATTAGAACAGAAATGGAGAGGGGCTAATGATATGTTGAATATGAATGTTGTCTTCATACGTGCTAGTAGCGAAAGCACACTACGGGGTCCAACGTTACTCTTCTTTGCATATAGCTTATCCAGCTCACCTCTAAAAGCCAAGGAGAGGCTGGTATCATGAACCTAAGGGGTGTTGTACAAATAATAATGCTGATGTTATATCTTAGCGTGTCTTGCAATTGATGTTAACACACCCACCACGATTTAGCCTTTAGCTCGTGTTAGCTGTGGCAACCGTGGCGGCAAGGGGACATTAAAGTGAAATAAATCCTTTGGGCTAATATTAGCCTACTCTCCTATAACCCGACTAACGTTACTCGTAAACAAAGCAGCCCGACTGGAAAAACGGTCGTTTTCGTACAGCTAACAATTATCCAGTAACGTAAACGACACATTTGCGCTAGTTCACGAAGCCAACCTAGGCTTCAGTCAAATAAGCAACCATATGGCCGAGCTAACGTCTTTGACGTAGCTAAGTATTAACTTCAAAGTGTATTCGTGTTGGTAGTGCAACCAAAACGCAAAGCGCCATATTTAGCGAAGGTAATCGCGGCCAAAAAAACAAGCTAGCTAACCAATCTAGCCAGGTACAGAAAAAGACCCTCCTGCGGATTGATACGAAGTAAGCCATTTTACCAAATAATAAGACAGCGTCGGTCGCTTAACAGTATGCATTTAAAATTAAATTATATTTCTTGTCAGCTATATGAAATAATTGGGCAGCAAAGAAATTAAGTATTGGATTGCTAGCCCGGTTGATCCTAAATTCCTCCCCTTTTCAGTCAATCAATCAAGCGGGGACAGCTGCCCTCTACTTCCCCTCCCCTACGTGGTAAAGTGTTGGGCCTCGTTTCTAGCGCTCGCCCTTTGCTTTTCCACAATCCTCCTCAGCCCCCAAAACGCCGACATATTTTTTAACCCCCCCTCCCATGTATACAGTTTTTTTATCCTTCACAGAGCTCTGCCGCTTCTGTTTCCTCTAAAAAACACCCTCTGCTGCCCTGACTAAGTCCGCGCTCCTCGCCCCGGGACATTTTTGCGTGCGGCCCAGATTGTTTGATTGATAGGGAACGGAAAAAGAGGGACTTTGAGTGACAGCTTACCTGAGTGCCAATCTTCGTCACACTGACAAGCGGCTGCAGCAATCGGGACCCGCAGTTGTCGCGTTACGTCATCGCGCAAGGGCACGCAGGGGCGCAGGACTCATGATTATGTATTAGGTGGGCGGAGACATGACGTTCTGCTGCCTGCGAGTCCTGCGCCTTGCTGTTTTTTTTGTCTTAGCAAAAGCGATTCACTTCCCTCGCTTTATGCTTCGTTCCTTTATATACACGCGTTTTAATCATCAACATACTAATGCGTGAAAGACAACAGACTGCTGAGTGCTTATTCCTAAACGAATGCGTATGGATAATTTGAACATTATGTGCATGCAGGCATGCTAAACGAGTCTAAATTGTAATCATTAAAATAGAACCACAGATAAACCACTTGCACACTCAGCTCTATTCAAATGATGCCCCTAAGGCAGAAAAGCACGATAAAAGAACTGTTTGATCTTTCCCATTTCTTTATACACCAATTGCTTTATACAAGACAAAACAACCAAGTCAGGCAAAAAACAGACCTCAATTCTTATGTGTGGACTTTAATGATTTACTTTAAAAACAACAGAAGTAGGGGGACAATGAAAAAAAGAGACACTGCCATCACTGTCATCTTTAAGCCATAACTTATGGTCATATCAGCTCTTTTTAGTGCCTGGGTGAAGGCTTGCCAGAGGAGGGCTGAGGGAGACGAAACTTGGCCATCTGCATATCCAGGTCTGCAAATGTGTAGGGGTTGTAGCTGTGGTGCTGGTAGTTTTTGTAAGTGCTGTTATCAAACAGTTCTTCTGGCTCCGAAGGCACAGCTGCAGCTTCTGCAGTAAGGAGGGGGAGGGAAAGAAAGATGTAAGAAAACTGGTAGAAGGGTGAGCTTTACAAAATGTCTTGTCTGGGAACAGAGATAAAACCAGGTCAGTTAATGCAGTACTAGGTTTAGTCCTGTGTCCCTGTTACTGATTTTAAAGTAGTAACTGCTGCTTGAAGGGATTCATCACACCACATTTGATCATTTCTAAAAATGAGAACAAGAGTTTTTTGAGGGGACTGCACATTTCCACATTACTCATGCTAACACAAGGAGGTTTGTGGCCACATTTTACAGTGGCAGCAACCCCCAATGGAGTATGGAGACACTAGCATAAGGAGCATCAAGGATCATGTTTGTGACTGGAAAAAGGATGTCAAGAAAAACATGTTTCCAGAGAGTAAAACAGCCCATCATAGAGAAAGAGTGATACTGTAGAGGTAAGAAAAGAAATGGAACAAGTCCAATAAAAAAAAAAAAAAAAAAAGGGGGGGGGGGGGATGTCCGACACCCGCACAGTGCTATGTTACTCTTAAACAGAGATACAAGAGAGAGGGATTTCCTGTAAATCTGCCAGCATGCTGTGACAGTAAAGTTTTGTTTTTCTTTTTTAAATGAAAACACATTAAAAACTTTTTTCCACCTACACTTAACGAATATGATTCCAGATAAACCAAAAGCTAAGATTTCAAAAAGTGAAATAAACAAGTGGTGCAAGGTGAGGAGTGGGGAAGGAAGGTTACTTCAGGAAGCAGGAATACAGTCTTGGGATGTGTGGGACACTTCCAACTTCAAACACATCTAACAGCTGTGTAGTTGGATCATCTGAAAGGATTTGCACTCTTCTTTTTTGGGACTCAGGTTTTAAAAAAGGGCCTGCAATCCTGATTCCTGGAGTACTCCCACCAACTGCAGCCACTCCCAGCTTCTCCTCGTCCAGCTGCTGTTAGGGAAGAGCAGTATATTCATCTACACTACAATCATGAGCCACTGATGCACCAGGGACAATGATCTGTGACCTCAACATTACCTCAGGCACCTGTAACTCACATTCCATACACACAAAGATAAGGGTGCAAATGAGCCCATGTGAACAGATGTTAACATGAGAAAATAGCAGTCAACTACTCTGTGAGGGAAAACAGACACTGTTAGCAGTCCTAGGACAAGAACACTCAAACTGTGAAAGAGTTCAGTTGGTCACAAAGTCAAAAGGAAGACTGCACAAGCAGGTTTAGTGTAGCAGTATGCAAGAAGTAAGTTCATCTGATGACAAACCTTTAATCACATACACCTTTGCCCTTGATCCTCCACAACAATTAACTTCAGTTTGAGTATACAAGTCAAGTAAATCCTCCAACAGTAGCATAACAGAGTATGGATGAAAAGAGCCCAAAAGCTCTACAAGCATCGACCCACAGTGTGTACAGTAGAAAGCACAACTAGAGAAGAACTACTTATTCCAATTTAAAATGATTCTATCATGATTAACAGGAAGTTAAAAGATTCCACCTCGTGATATACACTACCGGTCAACAGTTTTAGAACATCCCAATTTTCATTGGAAATTATGCAGTTCAATGTCTCATTGCACTCTGAAATGAAACAACGGTACAAATGAGCAATTTGAGTTAAAAAACAAATCACAGAATCAATTTACAGAGTAAAATGTATTCTAAACTTTTGACTCAAAGTAGCCACTTTGGCAGATATAACAGCAGCACACACCCGTGGCATTCTCTCTACAATAGAAATCAAATATTCTTCACAAAGTTCTTCCAATATCTGTTGCAGAAGTTCCCATAAATGTCGCACCTGCAGGTTGCTTTGCTTCCACTCTTCTCTCCAGTTCATCCCAAATCAGCTCGATGGGGTTTGGGGCTTACTACGACTACTATTGAGCTGTTGTCCCATGAGCCGCCGTCACACAAGCTGTTTACTCTCAGAAACTTGTCCTCTGATTCAGTTGTGTCTTTGGGTCTGCAGACCTCTTCCTGTCACAGTGTCTTTCTGAGCCTTTGGATGGTGAAAGATACTACTCACTGACACCTGGACTTTCTTTGCAGTTTCTCTGTAGAAGAAATTTTTAAGTGTTATGATGGTCCATCTCTCTTCCATTTTTAACTGCCTGTTTCTCGCTATTTTTGTAGCAACACTCTACTTTCAGCAGTACAATACAGTTCAACTGATGCTCACGAGGGTATGGTACCACAGTGTGTTCCAACACTGCTTTTATGCAGGCAGAGGGGGAAGTAATCCAGAAAGGTTGGAACACCTGTAGGAATTAGTAGCAGCAGCTTTCAAGGCTTGATCAACCTCCTTTGCTGCACAACAGCCTTAAATTGTTAACCTATGTTGTGTTCCCTGAAAAAGGCCTTTGTGTATAATTCTGTACATTATTTTACAGTTTTGGGTAACTTTTTTTTTGTAAACCTCTGGCAGTTCACCACTTACCTTTGTACATTTTCAAGCTGTTCATTGGACCTGAATGACTTGAACTGCAACAAACAACTGGAAGAACTGTGGTGCTCTAAAATGTTTGACCGGCAGTGTATATTAAAAAAAGAAAAAAAGAAGTGTTCCACATTAGAGTACAGTAACCACTGTAGCACAACTGAAATCAGCTCAACCTGTGTTCCCTATATGTCCACTATATGATCGCTTCAATGTTATTAGCAGGAAATAAGCATTTTAGCCATTCTGTGACTAGAGGGTGTGGGAGGGGTCAGGAGCTGCAGAAAACACTATCTGGCATCATGCACTCCAATATAATCGATCCCAGAAAGAACGAAGAAAACTCAATGAAGCTTGTTTCTGTCACAAACATGATATTGTGCCAGTTTTCATGTGCCTACAGTATGTTCCTGAGATGATTTCAGTCTACTTTCTAGTCCTGTTATTGTTTGCCAGCACTAAATTGGCAAGCAGTTCAATCTGCAAAGATGACCTCCATAGAGGTTTTCATCCCGTTTACTTTTTCAGTTCTCTTATGTGGATGAGCAGAACTTTCAGGGAACTTAAAACAATCAACATCAGTGTAAAGTTGGCATATTCTAATGTCAGGAACAACAAACCTCCGACGTTTGTCTTTAACCTGAACATCATTGTGGCCAGTGTTTTGGGGTTTGTCAGAGAAAAACAAGCTGCCTATCCCAAAGTACTCTCTAATATTACAGACAAGTTTAAACTACTGCATCTCCCTTATTTATGTTGGGATCAGAGATATTGCTTTAGTTGCTGTAACTTCTAAGTTAATAATGTTTATTCTTATCCTCTTGTTCCACATGGGAAATTTGTCTTGGACAAACGGTGCTAAACATAGTAGCATTCTGATAATAAAACCAACACCTAGAGACACTTAAAGGAGGCCATTAAATAGAAAACACGGACGATACTTTTAAAATACAACATGAACTGTTACATGTGAGGGAAGCTGCCGCCTGGTTAACAGAGCAACAGCACTCAGACTGTGTTTGGAGGCACAGGCAGAAAAACAATGGTCATTTCTAGAAGAGCCATAAATAAAAAGAGGGAGGTAAAGATTTGAGGGTCAGGGTAGTGTAGTGTGTACCCTTAGAGTGTTCAGCTGTGGCCTCTGTCTGCAGTTCCTCTCCTGCAGTTTCAGTTACAATAGGAGCAAGGTCCATCTGCTCCTCGGTGCTCCCTGCACAGACTGAAGCTTCAGCCGCAGCAGCTGCTTCAGCAGGACGGGCGTCTTCTGCTCCAGCTTCAGCAGGACGGGCGTCTTCTGCTCCAGCTTCAGCAGCTTCGCCTCCAGCCACAGGAGCAGCTTCAGCAGAGGAAGACCTTGGGTCTTTTAGAGCCTCACCAACGGGTTCGCCCGGAGCTTCTATTTGAGCATCAACAGGAAATGCAGCATCTTTTGTCACTCCTGCAGCAGTTTTGGCTGAAACGTCAGACCCAGTCACCTCTCGAGTGATGATTTCAGGGCCTGACTTCACCAGCTTCTCAAAACCAACACTGGGTACAGTCACTGTAGCTTGAGCTGCTCCTAAGGGTGCTGGTGTTTCTACACCAGGTGTGATAGGAGCCCCATATTCATTCTGAGCTTCGATAGTGCCTGCCTTTACTCCTGTGACTGTGATCCTCTGGGGTTCTGCCTCTGGTGCAAAGCCCTTGATTTCTTTCTTCTTCTCATCCTCAGAGTCAGAGTCTGATTCGGAGTCGGTAGAGTCCGAATCGGAGTCGGTAGAGTCTGAATCGGAGTCGGTAGAGTCTGAATCGGAGTCGGTAGAGTCTGAATCGGAGTCGGCTGCTGGTTCAGCAACTACTTGCTCACTGGCAGCAGTAACAGGAGTGATGGCTTGTGCAGCTACAATGCTTTCTGCAGTGGAGACAACCGCTGGTCCCGTTCCATCCACAGACTGTGCTGGGAAACATCCAGGCCCTGAAAGTCTAACTGGGAAGGCAACTGCTGTCTTGTAGGCTAACAGGTTTGCTCTCTCATCTGGAGCCTCTGTTGCTGAAGAAAATGGTAAATATAACATGAACAGTTAAATAATAAAATAATATATTCAATTTGATTTGTAGGTGTGCATTCACAACTCCTCTTAGATACTTTTAAATCCCACTTAGAATCAAATGTACTTCCCCAATCCCAGAATCTGGAACTGTTACCTCACAAACCTATTGTATACGTAACAGAACATCGTTTAAACATTTGATGTTTTCTGACACATCTTACAATTTTATGAACAATATAAGCTTTTTTGAAAAGTGTTACTAAAAAAAAGAAATGGCAGGGAAAACATTTTGTAACCGATTAGTTTAACAGGCAACAGGTCAGTGACATGATTGAAGAGAGCATCTTAATGAGGTCGAATTTCTAAAGAAGCAAAGATGAACAGATGATCACCAACTTCTAAAAACTGCCTCTGCAAACTGTGGAACGATTTCAGTATAACGTAAAATTATGGAGACTTTGAAGTCGCGTCAGCTGCAGTTCATGGTATCATCAAAAGAATCAGAATTAAGAGAATCTCTAAGCAGGTGCGTGCTGCAAACAAATACTGGATTTTTAGGGCTTCAAACTGCACAACATTAAAACAGGCATGAACACTGAAGAGAAGAGGGACGACCCAAAGTCTGCATCTCTACACTAAAATAGGAGACGGGGAATTTTGATTATCAAGAAATAACATGTTTAAGATCATTCAGAATACTGTAGCTTCGTACAAATTTAGAAAATTGACTATTAAGACAGAAGGACCACAAAACTAACAACGTGTCACAGAGTAAAACAGCAGCAGCTTTCTCCCTTACAGACTTCTAGTGAATTCAATTAAAATGATTCAAATGTACCACATGCTCTAAAATGTAAAAATCATATGGCACATTGTCTGTGAAGGTTCTCAGTCATCCAGGTCATCGTAGTCAAAGGAGCTTGCAAAGAAAAGCGTCTGGACCTCTTTAAGTTACTTGAAGACGTTTCACCTCTCATCCGAGAAGCTTCTTCACCCGAAACTCTGGCTGATTGGGACCCACACCCAGTTTCACACCTTGGCTCAGGCAATTAGAGGATCATCAGGGGTCCTTTTGTCCCTCTGTGGGGGGAAAACTCCCACTAGGTTTATATCTGGGACTCTCCACCATTTGACCTTAGAACTGAAGAAGCTTCTCGGATGAGAGGTGAAACGTCTTCAAGCTACTTAAAGAAGTCCAGACGCTTTTCTTTGCAAGCTCCTTTGACCATATGGCACATTAGCTTCACTGTGGAAAGAGGTGCATGTTACGCTTTAAAGGCATCATAACTGAAAGTACACATATACTCATCATGCACATATGCATTATTGTATGAATGAACAAAAGCAACCACCCAGCACAACTTAAAAAGCCACAGCGTAAAGCAGTTAACAGAACCCAAAGGTCTTTTTCTTGCCTGCACTCTTGGTCTTCTTCCCAGGTTTTGCTGGTTTTTCAGTCTTGGTGCAGAATGAAGCAGCTGGAGAAGTCCTCAGGATTCCCAAGTTCTCCAACTGGAGACGCTGCAGAAGAGAACAAAACATTGTCCAGTGAGAGTACAGAACCACACATTCAGGCTCATTTTTGTGATCATTTCACTGGTTCTCGCAGTGTCCTATTTTCTTAATCCTGTCTGAAAAGACCTGACACGCATTAACTTCTTTATAGTCACTTTAAGTCTATCTACCCCACTGATGATGCTATAGCCCTGACACTACATACTGCCCTGTCACACCTGGAGAAGAGAGACACGTA